AAGGTGTCCACTGGCGAACTGAGTCTCTGGCGAGCGACTCCTGAAGTGACCATTTCAAGGCACCACGGTTTAGGGGTTCAGGGTTTAGGGTCTAGGGTTTGGGGGTTTAGGGCTCAAGCCAGCAGATTCAGGCATTTGCATCGGTTATGGTTCCGATTTTGGGTTTTCAGGTTTAGGGATTTTCGGGGTCGAAGGTTTCGTACGAGGGTCTTGGGAATTGGAGCAGGGTGTTGGGGTAAAAAATGTCTTTTGGGCTCCAGGGCTTACGCATTCTTACCTGGGGCTACCAAACCCTAGATTTTGCAGGGTCCCTACAAATTCGTGGGATCTGGGCGCCAAACCGTGCTACGCCGATCAGCCGATAAGCCGATAAGCCGATAAGCCGATCAGCCGATAAGCCGATAAGCCGATCAGCCGATCAGCCGATTGGACATGGGAACTCTGTTCCCAAATCGTGGTAGATCACGGACGTCATTAGGTTTTGGGCATGGATGCTCTGCTCCCAAATCGCAGTAGACCATGGACGTCATCAGGCGTTGGACATGGGAGCTCTTTTTCCAAAGAGCAGTAGACCATGGACGTCATTAGGTTTTCAACATGGGAGCTCTTTTCCCACGTCGCAGTAGACCACGGACGTCATTAGGTTTTGGGCATGGTGTGCTCTGCTCCCAAATCGCACTAGAACATGTACGTCATTAGGCTTTGAACATGGGAGCTCTCTTCCCAGTAGACCATGGATGTCATCAGGTGTTGGGCATGGGAGCTCGCAGTAGACCAGGGACGTCATGGGAGCTCATTTCCCACATCGCAGTAGACCACGGACGTCATTAGGTTTTGGGCATGGATACTCTGTTCCCAAATCGCACTAGACTAGACCACGGACGTCATTAGGTTTTGGGCATGGTGTGATCTGTTCCCGAATCGCACTAGACCATGGATGTTATGAGGCTTTGAACAAGAGAGCTCTTTTCCCACATCGCAGTAGACCATGGACGTCATTAGGTTTTGGGCATGGATGCTCTGTTCCCACATCGCAGTAGACCACGAACGTCATTAGGTTTGGGGCATGGATGCTCTGTTCCCGAATCGCAGTAGACCATGGACGTCATTAGGTTTTGGGCATGGATGGTTCCTGAATCGCAGTAGACCATGGACGTCATCAGACGCTGGACATGGCAGCTCTTTTCCCAATAGACCATGGATGTCGTCACGATCAGCCGATTAAACGATTAGCCGATCAGCCGATCAGCCGATAAGCCGATCAGCCGATCAGCCGATAAGCCGATAAGCCGATCAGCCGATAAGCCGATTGGACATGGTCTGCTTATCGGCTTATCGGCTGATCGGCTTATCGGCAGATGCGCAGTTACAAAACCAACTTCGCGAGCGCAATGTACTATAATTTTAATATAATAAGGAACCCCCCAAAATGTATAGGTAAATATTTAGGCCCCTATATTAGTATTAGACTTCAAGACAGGAGGATCCACATGAGGATGTCAGGGTTTAGGGATTGGGGTCTAGGGCTTTCCTGGTTCCAGGGTTTTAGGATTCAGGGCTTTTAGGGGTTTGGGGTTGCTAGGCTTGCTAAGCGTCCTAGCCATGACCCCTAAACCTCCGACCTCAACGGAGGGGGCCATGGCTTTCTACCTAGATTCCGGACTGCAGGTCCTTCTTGTTGGTTTCCTTAAAGACGACATGGACTTAAGGCTCGGTTACATACCATACGGGAGTTTATAGTAAATATCAAGATATAGGATGCCAAGTCCCCGAAGCACAATGCACCCAGAAAGCCTGAACCTGCAAACTTTCACAAACCCGACCTGCCTTCTTGTCATTACCTACAGTCTCCATTGTAGTTCCTTTTTGGGGTTACTTTAGACCGTATAGGACCGATATCGGTTATCGAATTACCCGCGGTGCCGATGACCTGGGATCGAGCCTGGTCCAGCGCACTCAGCAGCGTCTCATGCCGGGCTGCGTACCCTGAGTTCATGGATGCTCGCTTGATGAGCCCCGCAGCTTGCCGTCGAGAGTCGCCTCCCTCGTGGCCACTGCTGCCAGGGAGATCACGTGCCCATGCTCAGCATCTACGATGGCCAGGTGTGCCGATGTCGACGCATCTGGGAACAAGTACCCGGCAGAGTGCATCTGGTTCACAGCCGCAGACCCTGTTGAATGTCGTCATCAATCGTGTTTTGATAGGCTTCGGGGATGAACGAGATCGCACAGGGGAGCGCGACGGCACCTGGGAAGAGTGTCCTGATGTCGTTGAGCACCTGGTGAGCCAAGTACGCAGATGCCGTCCCCTCGCAGCTTCCCCTTAAGCGCAGCATCAGCTTTCCGAGCCTCCCCATGCGTTGCGGTCGGCTACTTGGAGGTTCATGGATAGTTATAAGTATAGGGTTATGAATAGGGTAAGTATGCTGATAAATCATATAAGGGCACCTATAACCCCGCTTATAACTACCCATGAACCTCCAAGTAGAAGCGACGCAGGTATGGAACCGCCAGTGGGCCTACGATCTTCGCTTCTAAACCCGAAAGGAACTTGGGAGTTTCCCAAAACGAGGGGTACCTTAGTTTGGGGTCCTTATAATAAGGATCGGAAACTCCCACTTCGGTGCGCTAGTTTAGTGCCTTGAAAGCACAACTCTGAAACAGAAGGGCCGTATACCCCAAACCCCCTGAACAAAGCCAACGGCTACGACTCAATATCGGGGAAAATAGGTTAGGGTTCAGGGGTTTACTTAAGGCTTCAGGGATTTGTGGTTTTGTGTGCATGTACAGGCTGATTTTATGCGCAACGAAGCTCAGCAACGCAAATCTTGAATCCCGTTGTTGCCAAACTAAAACCAAGCAACACAATGGCCCAATGCCAGTAGCAGGCTACTATTACACGTACCTTTGGGGTACAGGTAGGGGTTAGGGTTGAGGTTATACCTAACTGGAAGCCTTTGACTCAACCTACGTTGTTAGGGTTCCATATTATGATTTCCTTATATACGTCCTTGACAGTGGTTAGGGCTCCTTGTTATGATTTCCTTATATAAGTCCTTGATAGTTGTTAGGGTTCCTTACTATGATTTCCTTACATAAGTCCTTGAAAGAGGGGAGGTCATTCCGGGGGTTAAGGTTGACTTAGACACCGAAGGCGAGGTCGCCCTGCCTCCAAAAAAAACCAAACCTGAAACAACTGAATCACTCTAAACCCTGACCCTATGCCTCCAGGGACCTTATTATGGGGTCCTTAAGGGGTCTAGGGCCCTAACTATGAGGTGGGTGCATTACTCAGAAGGGGCCCCACCCTGTAATAGTGGTATAATAGGAATATAATAGGGCCCTAATATAATCCTTATAGTCACTATTACAGGGTGGGGCAACTCCTAATGAATCACTCTAAACCCTGAATCCCTGAACTTAAAGCCCGTAAGCCCCGAAGCCCTAAAACCAATCTCAAAACCCACAGCCAAACAAGAACGACTCCTAAACGCCTACACCCCTAAACCCCGAACCCACATCCATGAATAAAGGCGCAAACTAAACACCCAAAACCCTTGGCCCCTTTACCCAAAAAGCATTAGACAGAACGACAACTAAACACATCCGAAACCTGAAACCCAAAACCGTGAGACAAAACGCACACTCACGCGCGCACACACACACACACACACATAAAAAAAATGAAACCCTGCGAAGCCGGATTCCTCTACGTGGCTCTGCTTTCGGCGCTTCGTGGGGGACAGCGCCATGCCCGAAAAGTCCAGGCCTTTCCTCAGCGGCCTGGCTTTCACGGGGGCTTCAACGGTGCTTTGAAAGGGCTTACTTGGCCGAAGGCCATTTAAGGGTCCCTTTAAAGGGATCTATAGGGAGTCTAGAAGGGTGTAGGGTTTAGGGCCTACTTGGAGGTTCATGGGGAGTTATAAGTGGGGTTATAAGCCCGCTAATAGGAGCTAATAGTTATGCTACTAATAACCCTACATATAGCTGCCCATGAACCTCCAAGTAGGATTTGGGACTTCGAAAGGATGTCAAAGAGGGCCCCAGAAGGGATGTCAACAGCGCTTTCAGACGCTATAGAAGGCAGCCTTAAAAGGGCTTTTCAATGGAGAATGGTTTTTTTTCCAAAGGATTTTGCTGTACAAGGTCTCAACAAAGGCCTTGAAAGGGAGTTAGGGCTCAGGGAGTCTGGAGTTTTGGGTTTAAAGGCTGTGACAATGGCTTTGACTGGCAGATTTCAGGGTCTAGTTTTAGGCTGCACTGAAAGCTTACTCAAACGGGATATACACAGGGTCCTTTGGGGTGTAGAGCTGTGCGGGGGTGGGGCTTCAGATTTGGCTTCGCAAGATGCTAGACGGTTTCGTGTGGGCTTCCAAATGGTTTATACAAGGAGCCTTGGGGCTGTAGGCGTCTACCCTCACTTCTCACCCCGCAACCCCTCAAGCCCTAAACCCCTCTAAACCGGAAACCTGTTTTTCGCAGGTGGTCGCTCCTGTCTGCTTGTTGCACGGACCGCAGAGGCTTGTTTCATCGGGCCCACAGCGCCGTGCGGCTCTTGCGAAGATGGCAATAAAGGAGCTGTAATGAGTAGACTAGGCCTTCTATCAGGGCTACCAAGATGGTTGAGTAGAGGGGGTTACGTACAATTAGAACGAGGTTCCGCTTGGTATATTCTACTGTACGTACTTAAACTTAAACATGACTATATTCAGGAACCCTCGTACATAGCACTCATATTAACCATTCCGAACCCTAAAGTAGCTACACTCTGTAGCGCCTAAGTCCTGACACCCTGCATACCCTCAACCTAACCAGCACCAAGATGGTTAGAATAGGGTTCTGGGACCCATTATACTACCGAACCCCCAAAATAGTAAGTGTTGGTAATTATTTAGGCCCCTGTATACTTATTTTGTCTTTAACCTATAATAGCAAACCCTAAACCCTAAACCCTAACCTTAAGAACCGTAAACCAAGAAGTTGACGGGGATGAGATGCACTCAGAAGCCGCGCTCTGGAACGATGAGGATCTTTGCAAACGCCTCGCTGAGAAGAGGCCAAGGGCGTGGTTGTTTTGGGGGGTTTGCCTGGACTTAGGGTTTAGGGTTTAGGGTTTAGGACCCCTGAAGGTATGTAGAATGATAGCCTTTTGCGTGATTTTGCCTAGTTTGGGGGTTTAGGAAGGGTTTAGAGCTAAGGGCCTGGGCTTTGCAAGGGTGTTTAGGGTGCAGGGCGTAGGATGGTAACGCAGAGGCATCGTGGTGCATCCGAACCCGGTGCTGTATGTCAATGTTTGCTGGTGGCCAGGGTAAGTAAGCGATATGCGACAACGACTGCGATCTTGACGACTGCGATTACATCGACAGGGGCGACAAGGCCGGCGACGACAAACACGACGAACACGACCAAAACCGCGACCGCCTCCCACCACCACGACGACGACGACTATTATTACTACTACTACTACTACTACTACTACTACTACTACTACTACTACTGCTACTGCTACTGCTACTGCTACTGCTACTGCTACTACTACTATGACGACGACAGCGACTACGAATACGACTACGACCACACACGACCACGACGACGACTGCGATCACTACTTCGTGTACTGTTACATGCCCTGGAAGCCCGCGTCTTCGTCAGTTGCGCCTTTCCCTTGTGCTTCTGCTGCTGCAGCTCCTGTCCGAGTGCACTGAAGTTGAAGCAGTGTGCCTTGGGGCTTGAGGGTGGAGGCTTTTCGGATTGGCGGTTTCGTGCTACTTCCAACCCAAATCAACTTGGGAACTCTGAAGCTCAATCTCGCACGACCAGAATCAGCGCCGACACCACTACGAGCACAAGCATGACCAAGGGGAATGTTATAGTCGCAAGAGTAGCTGTGGGAGGTGGCAATGGTAGCACTCGTAGTCGTAGTAGTAGTAGCAGCAGCAGCAGTAGTAGCAGTAGTCGTCGTCGTGGTCGTAGTAGTAGCCCTGGTTTTTCACGATGTTGATGTTGCTGCTGCTGCTGCTGCTGCTGCTGCTGCTGCTGCTGCTGCTGTGTCCGCTGCTGCTGTGTGATTGTTGTTGTTGTCGTTGTTGTTGCTGTTGTGGCTATGGTCGTTGTTGCCAGTGATGTTTTTCATGCTGCTTTTTTCTGCGGTGGCTGTCGCATGTATACATCACTTGTCTTACTGCACCGCCGGAAACCGTGAGCCGGAAGGTGATAACCGCCTCGTGTTTCCCGAGCTCAGAAGCCCGAAGACGGTTTAGGGTTTATGGGTGTAAGGCCTGGAACTAAGAGCTTGGGGGTTTAGGGCTCTATGTGAGTTTAGGGTTCAAGGGCCTTAGGGGGCCGGGGTTGAGGATTCCCCACAGTATCCTTTATGACCGAGCCGCCCCACAAACAACTTCCGCCTGTTCCGAATGAAAAGGGGGTGTCGTGACATGGGAGTTTCCGAAAAGGGGCAGAGCCTAATATAGCACCCTAAATAGTAGGATCCTTATTGTAAGGATCCAAAAATGAGGTACCCCTAATTTTCGGAAACTCCCACATGTTGCTGCCTGTGGTGTAGTTTTAGTGTGCCGAGTCTTGGGTCTGCAAGGCATGGTCCGATTTCAGGTTCTTTGCTTCGCAACCCAACATTACTGACACAAGCTGTTGAAATTGTGAAGAGAAGGATCAGCCGATGACGTAGAAGCTCTGCTAAGACCTTAAGAAAATGAAAACTTCACGGCGGTAAACCCTAAACCCCCAAACCCTAAACTTACAATCTAAATCCTAAAAACCAAAACCATAAACTTAAACCCTAAACCTCAAACCCCAAAACCCTACACCCTAAACCCGAAAACCCTGAACCCTAACCCTGTGTCCCAATTCAACTGGGTCCTGCATCTGTGGAGACCGCTCGAAACTGATCAAGCCGTGGTCGGCGAGGCATTCTCAGCAGTGCTGCAAGATGGTAAAGGAAGGTTTAAGGTTTGGGTACGCAGGGTTTTGGTTTATAGAGGTTCAGGAGGGGTTTAGGGTTTGGGGTTTTGGGTTTAAGGTTTAGGGTTGGTGGTGTCAATAGTATGTTGACGCGATGTTGGTGACATGTTTGGCACTGTGAATACATGTTGGGCTCGTGGGTAGGCTTGGAGGGGTGTGTCTGCGTGCACACATACATATATATATATATATATATGTGCAGAGAAAGATCTATATCACATTTGATAACTATGCGGTCTGTGCGATGCATGTGTATACCTATGCATATGTATGTGTGTTATATATGCATGTATTTATATATGTACATCTATATCTATATATATGTACACACATGCATGCATGTGAACATTAGCATTATACTAATATAACATTAGTTGTGTATCAATTTCTAATACAGAAGAAAGAGAGAGAGAGAGAGAGAGAGAGAGAGAGAGAGAGAGAGAGAGAGAAAAAACAAAAAAAAAACACAAAAAAGAGAGAGAGAAAGAGAAACAAAACACAAGATAAAGCAAGAGAAGGAAGTAGAGAGACGGCTTATACAGTAAAGTTTCGCCAAATGTTCCAAGACACCCCCCCAGCCCTAGACCCAAAACCCAAAATCCTAAACCCCAAACTCCAACTTCCCAAACCCGAAAGCCAATCAACCGCAAATCCCAAGCCCGCTAAACCTGAGGGCATGAAGATAATGATGCTCCAACTGTCTGGCATCTACTCAAAGGGTCAAACGGGGTCTTGGACTTGTAGGCCTGGTTTAGGACAAGCTGCAGGATTTGGGATCTAGAAACCATCAGCCTTGAACCCATGACCCTGAACCCCAAATCCTGTAACCCTACGAACAAACCCTACCGTAAGTTTCGTGTGGACAGGAGGCCGAGTGCTAGCAGCGCTGATTCATTGGGCGCAGATCCTGGGACTGGAGGTGGTCATGGGGTCTGCCTAAAGTAGATAGAACAATCACCAAAAAAAGGTGTTGGGCCATTATTTGTCTTGTTTTTGGGGGTTCAGGTGGGGCTTTCTGGCTCGGGGTAGCTTGCTGGGTTTAGGAATTTGAATTGAAGGTCCAGGCCAAGGTTGCTGTGCCCTTCCTCCAGGTCCGTGAACACCAAATGTGAAGACCAGTGGCCCTGAAGCCCTGGACTTCAAAACCATAAAGCCATGAACCCCAACAAAGAACAACAAACTTCAGGCTTTTCACAAGGCTCCAACGGCAGGACGCATAGAACTATGGGGATGGATCTATACAGCTTATGTGCTGAACAGATCGCCTGGGTCTGGCGCCTGGGGTTCCCTGTTCTTGCTGTAGGATTGATCGGGGATTCGGGGTACAGGCTCTGGGTTTCAGGATTCACTGTTACAGTTGATCGAAGTTGGGGAATAACGGGAACCCATATACGGCAAGGGGCCTTCCCACTTCAAATGAGGCTTAGGGCATAGCTAGCTTAAGCTAGTTGTTTTTGCTCCTCTTACATGCTACTTGCTCAGGCTGCTCTTATATCCCTAAACCTGAACCCCTCGATCCCAAATCGATGGCCTGAAACAGGGTGGGCTCTGAACCCTAAACCCTTAGTCCGTGTGACACCTCTTGCGTTTCGTCAGATGAGGATAGACTCTATGGGGCATTTCGACGAAGGCCTGAATGATTAAAGCGGCATGTTGAATGTGGAAGGTACAGTCTAACAAGACTGTATCTGTATAACAACTCCGAAGACATAGCGACATAGTTAACTAATCATGGGGTCTTCGATGTTGTTTCGCGCGACAGAACCAGCTAAACCTGACAGCTGAAAGCGTGTTTCCAAGGCACCAGGGTACCAGTTTGCAATTAGAGTTTAGGGCGAAGGGCTCAGGTCTTGGGGTTTAGGGTGAATGTTTAGGTTTAGGGTTTAGGGGCTAGGGCTTAAGGCTTAGAGGTTAAAGGTGAAAACCTAGCTTTAGGGACTTATTGCTGGCTAAGGCTGCCCGTAAGCATTTGATTTGGGGCGATTTCCTTGAGCATTGTATTTCCAGCAACTACCCAGAGGCCCCTAAGTAGTTCCTTTTTGGGGGTTCATATATAGAATCCTATAAGGTATTCCCCAAAAGAAACTACTTTGGGGCCTATGGGTAGTGACTATGAATCTATCAGCCCCTCCTCCCTTCCAAACAAAGCAAAAAACATCCCACCGAAGCCTAAAACCCCAGCACGAAGGTCGACCCATACCCTTATGTAGATTGCCCCTGTAGTGCCACTATTCTGCCCTTACAAGATCCAGAGAAACCCTTGTTTAGGGTTTCGGGGTTTAGGGTTTAGGGCTTTAGGGGTTTAGGGGTTTAGGGGTTTAGGGCTTAGGGGTTTAGGGCTTTAGGGGTTTAGGGGTTTAGGGCTTAGGGGTTTGGGGGTTTAGGGTTTAGAGATTGGGGGTTTAGGGTTCTTCGTAGTACACTTGCAGCCTTACAGTTGCCCCCGAAACAAACTTTGTCATCCCAGGGTGCCTTCGGGGTGGCCATCCATAACCTTCTTTAGGCAGTCGAAAGCACCTGGCGCACGCGGGGGGAGAAAAGTCTGGTGTGGAGTGGTGGTTTTGGATTTCGGAACCAAAATTTGTGTTTTCTGTTAGTTCATGCCATTGCTCAGTTGTGTCGGAACCCTGCAGCTATGTCTTGGCAAATCATGATTGTAGAGAGAAGACGCCTCGAGGAGAGTCAAGCATCTTCTCCCCACTCGCTGCAATCAGGGCTTAGGGGCACGGCTTGCCCATCATCGCGCCCTTTCCGACAGGGTTTAATGTAGGGGCCTCAATAATTAGACGTACCTCTTGGGTATGCGATATTTGTATAAGGGAAATATAGTTAAGCATTCAAACTTCCATTTTAGCGCTCTTTGAGCAATTCTCACTTGATGGTTCCAGGCCGCATGTCTCAGGCAAGTTGAACTCAGACTCGGAGTTTCTAGGTAAGCCCTCGTGATGGGCTGACAAAATACGGTAAGTTCTCTAGATTAGGGTCCGTTTTTCAGGTCCCCAAAACAGCATGGCACCCTTACAAGAAGGACTTTAAAGGGACCCTAATTAGAGAACTACCCATAAATTTAAGATGGCCTGGTAGGAAGACACTGCGGCTCGGCCCTCGGTGCGTCAACTGACCCATCGACAAACGGAACCCACGCCCTCCACTGCGAAAGCCTAATATAGGGGCCTTAACAACTAGAACAGGGTTTGGGGGTATGTTATACTATAATAATAATAAAAATAATGATAAAAATAGTAATAATAACAATAATAATAATAAGAAGAATAATAATAACAATAATGATAATATGGAACGCAAACATGGTATTGGTAAACATTCAGGCCGCTATAGTAACTCCAGAATGCTCTTTGAACAATACAGGCCAGCCAAAAGACGTGGCGTTCCACCTAAGAACGGCGTAAATCCTAAGCCGCTCGAATTCTGAGCCTCCTACGTGCTAGACCAAACGCCCAACCCCACCCTAAAGCCCCAAAACACCAAACCCTCAGTCCCTCGACTGCAGACCAGGCCATAAGCCGGCATGTTATGGATTCCACCAGTTCACAGCCCTGTAAACCCCAGAAGCCCGAATGTATGAAGCCGTTGCTTCAAGCTCCGTAAGCCCAACACTGAACCGTCTAAACACGAAACCCTAAACCCCAACCTTGAACGCCCAATCCTGAGGCCCACGTTCTCGTGCGCCTTGTTCCAGGGCTGCCCGGGAAATGGAGAAGCCGCCTCAAGAAATCCGCGCACTGTGGCTCTGAATTGTCCTAAGGGATTAGGGTTTAGGCTTATGGCTGAGGGTGAAGGCTCTGGAACAATCCAGCTACCAGGTTTAGGGTTTAGGATTTAGGCCACATTCTGCTTTCTGGTAGTGTGTTGTAAGCGTAGTCGGATTTTACGATTCCTCTATTAGGATCCCGTGTTTGCTGAAGTCTCATGTTGGCTTCAACAGCCCTAGCAGAGTCGAGTTCGGAAAAAAACGACGTGTCTCAACCCAGGGGCCTGCTGTAGGTTCAAGGTTTAGGGTTTTGGGTTTAGGTTTGCCGAAACGTTTTTTCAAGTGCGTTAGTTAACAACCTGCAAGGAGGTAGGATTCTCGGATTCACATTCAGAGTGGTCTCGTGTTGCTAAGCTTGCAGAACACCAGATCCTAAGACTGAAGAGCAATGTGCAAACCCTCCAACCCAAATTCGCCGGCGGCCTTCCCGCATGATTCGCCAGACGGCCGTGCAGGCTTCGGTGCAAAGATCTATGTGGCCTCCGGTGGCCCGGCGAGATCACGAGGATTCGGGGTTTAGAGGATTAAGCGTTTGCTTAGGATCTACGGTCAGAGATCAAACTTCAGGGTTTTAGGGCTCGGTCTCTTCGTATGATTCAGAGGCCGGGCAGAGCACAGATTGAACGAACATCAACTAGTTTAGTCGGGTATCAAGGCCGGGGAACTATGATGAGAGACCTACCTGTTCAAGTTCAAGAACCAGATAACAAAGAGTTCATGATGAGGAACGCTAGCAGATGCTAGAAGGGTAGGTGTGTGAGGGTTCAGGTACACAAGCAACCGGTGTTTGTTAGATGGGAGTTGTAAGGCGTGCACCTTCCAGCGGTTGAGGGTCTAACTTGCCCACAAGCCCCCCCTAAACCCTAAACCCTAAACCCTAAACCCTAGCCCCCGCTCGGTGCCTGAGAACGCGTTGATGGCGCTCGCCACCTTCAAGGCTGCAGATGAGGTCAGGAACCGGATTCTTAAGTGCCCAATCTTGTTTAGTTTAGGGGTTTAGGGTCAGGGGTTTTGGGTTGAGGGTCAAGGGCTTTGGGGTTTAGGGTTGTAAAGTTTAATAAGGTTTAGGCTAAGATGAGGTCGCGACTGAATCTTACGCAAGAAAGCCTGCACCCGGTTCAGTCTAGGGTCCAACATACGGCGTCGAATTTGGTTTCGAGGCATAGTATACGAATGTACTGTTCAAAGAAGGAGCCCTTTAAACAACATATTGAAGGTAGTTGTTCCTAGTCCGTGGTCACCTGGTTGGGATAGTACTAGAGTTTAAAGTTCTCTTCCTTCTTGGGTAAGTACCCATCCAGATATAAACTGTCACCCAACAATGACAAAAAGTCCGGGCCCTGTATAAGTTTGCTAGGGCTTCCTCCAAATTCGAAAGGCTGCGAATCCGGTTTCCTGTGTACCCTAAAGGGTTAGGGGTTTGGGGTTAAGGGGTTTGGGATTCTAGGGATTTGGGGTAGGGTTTGCGTCCCAAGGAGCGAATGACTAGGTACTTGGGTTTCGGATAGAAGTCAAGTACGTTTGTATTTGGGAGAGTATAAGACTATGAAGTACTAGGACCCTTTGGGGTAGAGTTTCCGAGCTCCGAGTCTTAAGCCCTAATCATGATCCTGTGCTTTGAACCTCGCTTGGTAGTTCGTGGTATTATGACGATGATAACCACAGAACACGCAGACACATTTCCTAGAGATCAGCAACACTTGTGTTATAGTCGCTCATTTCCTGTATGATGTGGGAACCAGGCTGCGCCCCTGAACCCTAAACCCTAAAAACCCTAAAAACCCTAAACCTTATAAACCCCTAAACCCTGAAATACCCCTCAACCTTATAAACCCCCAAACCCTAAACCCTAAACCCCAAAGCCCTTACCCTTACCCTAAACCCTAAAAACCCTAAAAACCCTATAACCCCCCGAGACCCGAAGGCTTCCGCCGAGTCTCATCCTGAAAGACACCCAGCGAGGCGGCTTCCCGCGCGGCCGCGGCGTTGTGCTGGACTGTCCTCCCCGGAAAGATTTGGGGGTTTCCCAAAAATGGGGGGTGCCTTATTTCGGGGTCCGTATAATAAGGATCCTACTATTCAGGGTACTATATTAGGGTCCCCTATTTTCGGAAACTCCCATTTTGCAGGAGGGTTTCCTTCTTGCACCCCACACAAACGGGAGCAAAACCACAGCTGAACAGTTCTTTATGGGTCTAGGGCCTAGGGCTAACCCCAAGGGTCCAAAGGACCCACTAATTAGGTACTCGGTTTTAGGATAGTAGTTATGTAGGTTAGGATTTTGGAGAGTACATGATTATTAGGTGGACCCTTGAGGAAAGGGTCCGTTACAGGAACCCGTAAAGACCTACTACAGGAGCCCTCAAGCAGCCGTTACTGGAACTCTTAAAGAAACCCTTAAACAGCCCTCAAAGGACCCCGAAAAGACCTCTTATGAGGGGTACTTCACTAAATCAGAATAGACCTTCCTGAGACAGAAACCCTACATTCTACCATCTAGGTACTTTGGACCCTTCGAGTCTGGCCCAAGGATGACTTCTACTTGGAGGGTCGGGGGACTTAGTAACTGGTTATTTTAGGGACTTATAAGTACCATAACCCCAATTAGGGTCCCGTTTAGGGTACTTATAAGTCTACTTACTACCTACTTACTAAGTCCCCCGACCCTCCAAGTAGGGCTTAGTTTAGGATTTAGGGGCTGAGGGCTCCAAGTATGTTTCGGGACTGCGGGGTCGAGGGGTTTAATGTTATCGGTGTAAAGCTTAAGGGCTTTTTGGGGTTTAGGGGGTTAGGGGTTTAGGGGTTTAGGGGTTTAGGGTCTTAGGGGTTTCGGGGTTAGGGGATTTAGGGATTTAGGGTTTTAGGGGGTCAGGGCCTCAGGTTTTAAGGGTATCGGGGGTTCAACGTCTTTAGTAGAGGGTTCAGGGTTGGGTTCAGGGCTGTGGCCCTTGAGGGTTGTACATAAGGTGACAGAACCACCTGTCATCGAGCCGGGGGTAGTCATGGTTTTGGGCGTTGCGTTTGGAGCTTTCCTTCCCGGTGCACCTTGAAACTACGCACTAGAAGCAACCTTGAACGAATTCTGTATGCAGGCTTGTAGTAGTATGAAGACAGTATCATGATTGTTATGGTTGCAGGGCTCCAGCTTCCAGATTGTAACTTACTGTGTAAGAGTACCCTGAAGGCTGAATGGGTTTGATTAAATTTACCTATAGTCTCCATTGTAGTTCCTTTTTTTGGTTAAACAAAACTCTATTATAGGGTCCTAACCATAAAACTGGTTAACCAAGAAAAGGAACTACAATGGAGACTATAGGTAATTTGGTTTAGGGTAAGAGCTGAGGGACCCAATTCTTGGGTTCAGCTTTTCACTAGTCATGCTCCGCAGGGGCTGTTAGGGTTTATATTCGGGTTTGTAGGGGTTCAGGGGTGTAGGCTTTTAGGGTTTAGTGTTAAGGGTACGTTGTGCTATTTAGGAATCATTACTCTAAGGCCCCAAAGTAGTTCCTTTTGGGGGTTCATATATAGAACCCTATGGGGTAACTCCAAAAAGGAACTACTTTGGGGCCCCTGAGAAAAGGGCGATTGTACAAATCGATGAAGACCCGTACACAAATGCATCCTGCAAACCCTTCCAAGCCCCGAAACCACATCAAAGAACCCTTCAATCCATGAACCGCAAACTCAATACCCTAGATCCCATCCAAGGGGAGAAGGAGGGACCCTTAATAAGGACCCCAAGGTATCTACCCTTAATATAGCTACTATAAGCCCATTATGGGGTAGGGGTCCTTATTAAGGGTCCCTCCTTTTACCCTAGATCCCAAGCTCTAAACCCCAAATCGCCGATGCTCAACCCTTAACCCTACCTAGACCCTGAAGAAACTACCTTTTTAGGGTTCCCTATTATAGTTTCTTTATATAAGTCGACTTAAAAAGGTAGGTTATTTGGGTTAAGGTAAATCCTAAACGCTAAACCCTAACACAAACCCTAAACTGCTATATAAACCCTAAACCCTAAACTCCTATGTAAACCCTAAACCCTAAACCCTAACACAAACCCAGAATCTCACAGAGGGGAGCCGCCTGAAGAGGGCGTCGCAGCCGTATTTCTGAACTTCGGCGGATTGACACCGATCTCGCCTGGTTTACCCAGAGGCCCCAAAGTAGTTCCTGTTTGGGTTTCATGCATAGAATCCTATTAGGTACCTTAAGGGGTCTAGGGCCCTGACTCTGAGGGCCTTGGAAGGTTTAGGGTTTTTGGCTTAGGGAGTTTTGGGTTTAGGGGGCTTAAGGTTTAGGGGTTAGGGGGTTTAGGGTTTAGGGGGCTTAGGATTTAGGATTTAGGGTTATAGAGTTTATAAGGTTTAGGGCGTTTAGGGTTTGCGCAGGTTGCGTGCATTGCTTTAGTTGTCTCCCTTGCGAAGAGTTTCCAAGTCTAAGGTCTTGATGAGCTTTATACTGCGGCCGGTGAACCCTAAAGCCTGAACGGGAAATCTTAAACCCTGAACAGGAAGCCTAAACCTTTATATAGTAGTAGTTGCACCTTGAGCCCCTTACCTGTCAAGCCTCAACCGCACACCCCAATCCCTGGGCCTTGCCTCAAAGCCACTCACAGATTCGGTGCAGGCCGCCCAACACAGTCAACACGCTGCGATGAATAATTACATAGGCACGAGTAGGGTACAGAAGCCAGCACCTACCTTCCTCCCGCCTTGGGAGCGCTATTATACCTACTTGTCGGGTATCATGGGGAACTAAAGGTTAACCTTCTTGGTATTATAGGGATTATATAGGGGCTCATATACTATACTACCAAAAAAGGTTAAAGGTTACCTACTTTACTACTAGGGCAAAAGGCTGATGCCAAGCCCGAGCCGTCAACAGTAGCGCCTCACCAACCTGAAGTACTTCTCATCTGAAGCAAGGAACTCGGGGGGAAAAAGCTGCAAGCCCTAGAAATTCTTCAGACAACTCTGAAAACCTGGATGTCGAAAGCTGTGCGGGCCTCATTTCAGTGAGTATCATCTTGACATTGCGGTCCTGCGATGCAAGGCTTCATTCAGCTGCAGATTGGGTGCTGAAGGCTATCGAGCCAAGATGCTTAAGGTTGAGGTTGATAGGAGCACAGGGTGTCCGAAGCTTAGCACTACTACCGAGCTGCAATTCCTAAGATGCCCTTGGTGTCACGGGTCGAGTACAGTGTTGTCAAGCTATGAAACCTCGAGTGCCCGGACTGACAAGTACCCGCCCCTCCGTTACAACAGTAGTACTGCTGATGGACAAAATCCTGCATTACCCTAAGGACCCTAAACTATGGGAATTATGGTATATTCCTTCTTATGGGTAATGCAGGATTTTGTCCATCAGCCGTACGGACTGCAAGGCCTCCATCAAACATAGCCCAAAACCTCAACTCTAAACCCTAAGCCCTAGACCCCTAAACCCTACACCCTAATCAACTTCAGCCTAGGTCACGGCAGACTCCGAGTCCCAACAACAATCCTGTAAAATGCTAGACGAAGTCTCCGATGTGGGGTTTAGGGTATCCGTGACAGAACTCTGCAAACAAACCCATTGCAGAACCTTTACAAACAAAAACAACATAAGCCTACGAAAGACCCATGTAGAATCCGTTACAAACATTGTACCAACACCTTTCGAACCCGGAATCAATCTCGAGAACTGTCGGTACCCAAGTTTAGACAGACGCAGGCTTTCAAAAAACAAGGAAAGACGAGAGCAGGATTCTCAGGAGAGGAGGCAGGGGTGGTTCTGGGTTTAGGGACCGGTGCTCATGGGCAGAGGATCGTATGGCCGTGGAACAGCGCTGTACTGACTCCCGAGTTCGGGTCGAAGGGAAAATAGTCCTCCACCGCCTTGTCGAACAGCCTTTCCATGTCTGTCTCCATGGTCGACCTAACTTGGAAATCAGGGCTTCCGGCAAAGGCTCAGGTTAGGGCCTAATGCTGCTAAACCGAAAGCCATAAACACTGAATGCCCCCCAAAAATCCTAACTCAGGCGGTTTGCAGGCTTGGGATTAGGGGGTTTAGGGTTGAGAGCGTGTAGATATTGCACACTCATGATATGACATCTTGTTATGGCATATTGTATTGGGATTTACATGTATATTTTTGTATATTTCACTCATGATAATACAATAGAATGAAGCATCTTGCATCAAGGTTCAACGCTGCAGAGGTCTGTCTAGAAGGCTGGAACTTGAAACTGCAAACGTTCGAACCCGAGAGAAAATTAAATTGACAGGCGCTCAATGACGGGCACGGTGTAACGCAGAAAACTTACTGGCGTCACGGGATGAAAATCTGAAGCTTCGCGCGTGCATTCACGAATGCAGTTCCCCACAGACCATGCCATGTCCTAAACCCTAAACCCTAAACCCCTAAACCCTAAACCGCGCAGCCTTAATCCCGTAAACCTTCAAATGCGGCTCTGTTGATGCGACAAATCCCAGAACCCTATACCCCTACCCAGATCTATAGAATCCTATAAGGTATTCCCCAAAAGGAACTACTTTGGGGCCTATGGGTAAACCCTACGTTCTTAAACTCAAGTCTTAGCTTTTGACACGAAAATTGCGCTCACTGGTATCGCACATCGCATACCGCAGACTCCGACAGGAGCACTGGAGTGGCCAACACGAGCCAAAGTAGGTAGCCGGGGGTATGGGGTCCAGTTTTAGGGCTTTAAGAGGTTTAGGGTTTAGGGTTGAAGAGTCTTAGGTCTGTTGAGGTTCAGAATGCCCCGAAATCTATACCGCTCAGAGAGTTAAAGGAAACAAAACATCATACACCGATAGAGTTGATAAGGCTGTCTAGGGTCTAAGGTTTGGCGGAGTCTTCCGGTCTCCAAAATTTCTTGAATCAGGGTTTAAAGTCGGGGATTTGGGGTTCAGGGATTTAGGGATTTACGGTTCAGGGTTTAGGAATTTAGGGTTTAGGGTCTCGGATTTAGGGCCTTGGGTTTAGGCATTTAGGCTTTAGGGTCCAGGGATGCGGTTTAGGAATTTAGGGTTTAGGGTTCAGGATTTAGGGCCTAGGGTTTAGAATAGCGCCTAGAGTTTAGGATAGCGCGCTGAGTTTAGGGATTTGGGAGTTTGGAGGGCACCGACTCAACGAGATCTACTTGGAGGTTCATGGGTAGTTATAAGTAGGGTTATAAGTAGGGTAACTATACTTAAAACCCATATTAGGGGACTTATAACCCCACTTATAACTACCCAGGAACCCCCAAGCAGGGCCAAGGGTTGGGTTCAAGGTTCCAGGTTTGCCGCTGTTTTATATGTCCTGGGGCTAAGGGGAAGGGGGCGCCTAACATTGTAACATAGACCCTCCTTCGTAAAGATACCGAAATACCCCCTAAACCCTAAACCCTAACCCCATTTTTGCTGCGTGGGTTTAGGGTGCGAGCTTCCTCGTCACATGTCGCCGGCTCGAGGCTGGACAGAGTAAAGCTGTCAGCTGGCAGGAGATTTTGGGAGAGGCTGTGGTAAACTGGCCCTAGACCTTGATGTGCCTGCACAGCATATACAGTATTAGGCCGTGAAGTACCTAGAGAGGGACTACTTTAAGGCCTAGGTGCTTTTGAATGCCCAAGCCCAAACCTACATTCGAGGTCGCTCTTTCTTGGTTTCTTGGTTTCTGCTGTCGCATACCGGCGTACCGTACCAAACCCCTTAAGCCACAACCAAAGAAGGAACCCTCAACCCGAAAAGCCAACCCAAACTCAACCACTCTGTATCATCTCTGTCAGCTATGCCAGAATAGTCCAACACCAAACTCTCAATTTTACGCAAAAATCGGAAAGACGGAAGAAACCTGAATCCTCGATGAATCATGTACCCCACTAAGGGGATCGGAGAAGATAGTAAGTAGATCGTACATGTCATCTTCCAGAAAGTGAGATGACGACCCTGATTGGGATGATGATGATGATCATCATCATCATCATCATGATCATCATCATCATCATCACCGTCATGAGATTGATGATTATGATTATGATGATGATGTGTGTATGTGTATGTGTATCTGTATGTGTATGTGTATGTGTGCATGTGTGTATGCGTGTGTATGTGTGTATGTGTATATGTGTGTATGTGTATATGTGTGTATGTGTGTATTGTGTATATGTGTATGTGTTTATGTGTTTATGTGTGTATGTGTGTATGTGTGTATCTGTGTGTCTGTGTGTCTGTGTGTCTGTGTGTCTGTGTGTCTATGTGTGTGCGTGCTGTTGTCTGTATGTGTGTATATGCCTGTATGTATGTATGTATGTACGTATGTATGTATGTATGTGTGTATGTATGTATGTATGTAATGTATGTAGGTAGGTAGGTAGGTAGGTATGTATGTATGTATGTAATTATGTAATATTGTGTAATGATGTGTTTATGTGTATACATATATATATGTATACATCTGCAATAGCTTAGCAGTATACCCATAATTGCCTACGTACCAGGTTCACTGATCATAGACCAGATTAAACTCGGAGGCCGGGTGCAGATTTTGTCGGGATTTTGAAGGTTTGGGGGGGGTCCGGGGTCAAGGGTTTAAGTGCAATGGTGTCGGATTTTAGGGGTTTGGGTGTTTAGGCTTTGTGTGCGGGGACGCGGAATTTTCTGTGGCTATCGGGCGCTTGAGGTCGTGGGGCCGGGTCGGGTTGTAGGATTAGGGCCCATGATGATTACTTGGAGGGTCCGGGGGACTTAGTAAGTAGGTGGTAAGTCATGATGATTACTTGGAGGGTCCGGGGGACTTCGTAAGTAGGTAGTAAGTAGACTTATAATAAGCACCCTTAAAGGGAGCCTAATTGGGGGTTATGGTAGTTATAAGTCCCTAAAATAACCAGATACTAAGGCCCCCGACCCTCCAAGTAAGGGGGAGGGGTGGCCGGCACCCTAGACCCAAGTGCATGCTCCAATCCCAGCACCCATAAAAGTAGACTGCACTAGTATATAAGTTGAAGATTACCACGACACACAGATGACATCTTACTGTAACATCTCAATCTTTTGAGTCAGACACTAGCCGGGAGGAGAAGGTGCTATCTCCGGCCAGCAGTTTAAAGAGTTTCTTCCGACAATCTCGAAGGAGCCCTCATTTGATGAGAAGACTCCACATATGGGGCTGCTCTGAGTTCTGTTTCAAACTACAACCACCACCCGCTGACTAGGTACCGTAAGATGGCCTCGCATCTACAGTCTAGATGGGTATGTGCCATAACCCGACATCAAGACGGCTTTAGGTTCCGCTAGATAAAACACACCCCATATAAGGGCCAGCGCGTCTCAGCTTTTGACGCGTCGCTTGCCTCAGCCACAAAGCAGCACATGGAGCTTTGAAGACTATCACATTGCGTGAAACTCAGAAAATGAGGAGGTTTGTGCATTCCCCGCCGAAACCATCTCCTACTACTACTACTGCTACTACTACTACTACTACCACTACTACTACTACTACTACTACTACTACTACCACTACTACTACCACTACCACTACTACGACTACGACTACGACTACGACTACGACGACGACTACGACTACGACGACGACTCCTACAACTACTACAGCTACTGCTACTACTGCTACTACTACTACCACCACTACTCTCCTACTACTACAACTACTACCAGCAGTACTGGTACTAGTACTAGTACGACGACGAAGAGGAGGAGGGAAGATGCAACAACTTTTGAAAGTTTTGTTATAGGAGCTGAAATATATGATAGCATCTTGTGGCGGTCATTGCAATAATCTAAATACTGTGATATCGACAAACCCCAATCCTAAGACTTCTGACTTAGGCACCCAAAGACATTGATCCTAAAACTCCAGCTACGTACGCGGTAGCGTTCAAAAGGCTCTGGTACTACCAGCTGCGGTTCACCCGAAAACCTTCCTTAGCCAGACGCATGAGACCCTACGAAGGCCAGCCTCTACAAACAAAAAACAGTTGAGTTCACGACCTAAACCCTAAACTCATAAGGAAAAGTCGAGTTGAACCCACTTACCCCAAGGGTCCAAGTACCTAATAATCATATACTCTCCAAAATCCTAACCTACATAACTACTATCCTAAAACCGAGTACTCTTGGGGTTAGCCCTAGGCCCTAGACCCGTAAAGAACTGTTCAGCTGTGGTTTTGCTCCCTTTTGTGTGGGGTGCAAGAAGGAAACCCTCCTGCAAAATCTTTCCTCAGAGCTTCTGCGCGCGAAGCATTAGCTTCCGCGGGTATCAGTTTAAAAAACAAAAAATACATATATATATATATATATATAGATTACGATGTGAGTAAGCATATATGTATATATGTATATCATATATCGCTTCCACGCTTCAGTTCCTGGGTGGCTTTTTTGGGTGAGCTTGCAGACTCGCAAACCGCACTCAAGTCTCGACGATACTTTCTGTTTGGACAATGTTCTCGTATAGGACTACACCAACCTTTGACGGTCTGCATTCCAACGATAAGTCTCAGCGTCATCATGATCAAGAAAACAGTACGGTAATGAGTCCTATGCATCGGTTGAAGGCCTTTGGGGCATAACTTGTCGTAGCCTACACCCCTAAATTCCTAAACCGTAGGGTTGATCTTCTGCGACCTTCTGCGGACACAGTCTCGTGCAAGCTATTCGGCCAAACGATATGAAGAAAGCGACAAAACACACAGCTAAGCTGAGTTGAACTCCTTAAGCCATGAACTCGAATCCTAAACCCTGACCCTGTGAACCCTCGACCCAAAAAGAACTGTTGAATTGAACACAAGTTTACTGCCAATACATTTGCTTGGGGCTCCATATCGTAATCTTACTTAGTGAGTCATGTGCCAACATAGTAAATGTCGAAACCCTAAACCCTACCTAGAGGCTCATACCCTACCCCCGTT